AAGCAAAAATCGTTCAGTACCGAACGGGGTGTCGAGAAGTTGTAAGTAGTCGGACTGGGATTTTCACAGCGTTGACTTCGGCTGTTTCACTGTCAACTGGCCGTCTCGGACCAGAACTCTACGAGTGACAAGAAACTTCGTTGCGACAGCGCGGCAGAGAAACGACGAGTGAGGCTAACGAGTGACAGGCTTGCGCAGACGGAGACGGCAAAATTCGTGCAGTGGCACAGCTGCTGTTGATAAATCAATTCTTTGGCACAGAGTATGCAACAGCGATGCGTTCGCCGGTGTTCAGACCTCGGTGTCCTGATTTCCCTTGAAAGGTGACAAAAAGCTGGCTGTTCGACCTCACTGTAATCATCGACCGATTTGCGGCGCGTAACTTTCAGTCAGGTCGCACCTGGCAGACCGCCTTGGTCATCGGTCGTCGGTGTCTGTTTCGCAGGTTACCATCGAAACGGGTGATGTTCCGCAGTCAGTGCGCAGAAAAGACGCCGGTGCAGCAGAGGCAAACGAGTAAGTCATATGTTTCTCACGAGCGACACGAGCGACGATCTGCGACTATGACACGAAACAAGCAACGTTCGTAAGCCGTTTGTCGAAGGGCGCTGCTCACATGCCTGCGGGAGCCTCGTCTAGAAGAGCTGCATGAACGTCAAGCCGAGCTCAAGTGACCAGTTCGAAGCAGTCGGACAATGCGTGATACAAAGTCGCTCTAATTTGTCTCAATCCAATGAGGACAGGCGATGCCTAAAGTAGGGAGTTGCATACAACGAAGTACACTGAAGTGTGTACTTTTCGAGCGCTACTGAACCCGTGAAGCCCGGTCTTCAACTCCTCTATCTGTAGAGTCAGTGATCGCAAAGCCGGGCTGACCGATGGTCAGTTTTCTGCATCAACTCAAAACGAAAGCGTGAGGCAATCGTTTCATCATGCCACCTATCTGTTGAACTAGAGCATGTCGAACTGATGTACGACCAGCGAAAACTACTAACGATGCTTAATGGACTGCATGAGAAAATTTCACCAAATAAGTAACGTCCTTTCCACTTGAATGATCAATTACTGGAAAATCCAGAGCAGCACTGTCTAACGTTGTACGTGCGTGTTTAAACGAAGGTTGAAGT